TAGTCTTGACAAGATGAAGATTAAAGACAACTCAGGTCATGTTTCACTTTGTCTTCTGCCAGTTGAATGGTCTTGAATGCCTATACTTTCTTTCTAAACAATAGAAAGTCTCATAAATACCTAAAAAGTCTCCACATTGCATTCCAAATGTTACTACACATTGATCTTCTCTAGTGCAGATAAAATATATATTTTTAAAATTTCTACTCCAAGTGAAGTCTTAGCTAAGGCATATCCCAACTAAGAGACCTCATTGCTTTAATCTCAGAGCTCCACCCAGTCTCCCACACAAAACTCACAGAAAACTACCTGCAAGCCTTCTCATCCAGAAAAATTATGAACTTCCGGTAAAACCCGTCCTGAAGCCATATAGCTAAATGCTCTTACCTGTTTTTCTGTAGTCAAAAATAAGAATCATATCTTTACTTGCATAAGATAGAGACTAGAAAATGGCTTTTCTTATTAGCGATGACTCCTGGTTTTAGCAATTCATTGTACATGTTGTATACTACTTGTTCCCTAGTATCTCCTAGCCTTAGTGACAAGTATGGGAAAGGCGGTGATTATCCAGGTAATTATTGAATCACTACACAACTATGTTCCTGGGTTATTGTGCCTCCAAATCCTTCCATTTTCTTTATAGATTATGAATTATTCAAGTAGTTTCATCTGTGACTTTTGCTGCTTACTTTGTTGTGACAACAACTGTATCTGAGAAAAATGCTAAGATGAAGTTATCAGAAATTCCAACTGTGTTAGTCTGTTCTCATGCTGCTATATAGAACTGCCCAAGACTGGGTAATTTATAAAGGAAAGAGATATAATTGACTCACAGCTCCACAGGGCTCGGGAGGCCTCAGGAAACTTACAATTATGGCAGAAAGGGAAGCAAACATGTCCTTCTTCACATGGCGGCAGGAAGAATTGTGCTGCAAAGGGGAAAAGTGCCTTATAAAACCAACAGATCTCATGAGAACTCACTATCATAAGAACAGCATGAGGGTAATTGCTGCCCACTGGGTCCCTCTTATGACACTTGGGGATTATGGTAACTACAATTCAAGATGAGATTTGGGTCTGGACATAGCCAAACCCTATCACCACCTCTATTATAAATGATGTTAAAATCGACTCTCTTTAGTTTTGAATGGGCCATCAATAGGATGGATATTAATAAAAATAATATACACAGATTCACTCAAATAAAGAATTTATGAAGGAAATGATTAAGAACCATCTCTACAACTCTTGTATCTTTTAGCCAGAACAGGGTATACAGAGAAGACAAAATGTGGAGATAGGAAGAAAATTCTCCAAAGAACTTCTTTGCAGAAAGCTGCTCTTTCACTGTTGTTGCTGCTTTGAGGGAGTATTAGGTTATGTTATTTGTATCTTTAGAAGAAGATTATTATTTTTTTTACTTCCTTATCCAACCTGAAGCCTAGTGTGGGGACTTCTGTGAAGTCACTGAGGAAGCTTGAAATATACCTCTTGCTATTGGGAGACTCAAAGGCCTTGAAAAAGCTGCAACCACTGTAGAAATAGGAAAGTGTTGTCTACATCAAGACTATCACAGACTTCTAGAATTTATTTATTTATTTATTTATTTATTTATTTATTTTTGAGATGCAGTTTTGCTCTTGTTAACCAGACTGGAGTGCAATGGTGCGATCTCGGCTCACCACAACCTCTGCCTCCTGGGTTCAAGCAATTCTCCTGCCTCAGCCTCCCGAGTAGCTGGGACTCAGGCACGCACCACCATGCCCAGATAATTTTTGTATTTTTAGTAGAGACGGGGTTTCACCATGTTGACCAGGATGGTCTCGATCTCTTGACCTCGTGATCCACCCGCCTCGGCCTCCCAAAGTGCTGGGATTATAGGCGTGAGCCACCGCACCCGGCCTCAGACTTTTAGAATTTATAAGGACAAGAGATATATAAATGGCTGTTTTGGATGAAGTGCAGACAACAGAGAAGAAAGAGCTGACATGTGTCATTTTGGATTCTGTTCAGAAGAGCCATCTTAAGAGTCAGAGAGTTAACAGGAACAAGAAACCAGTCACGAACACTCTATTCTGAGATCTATGTAAGTAATTGCAAATGATTACCAAGAATAAATGATCCTTTTAACTAAGGGGAAAGTGAAAGGGGGACTATGATATCAACCTGAGCTAGAAGAAAGCCTAAACATGTGAGGGGTGGATGACAATACAGGCTGGTTATTGTTGGGAGAAACCCACACGTAGTTGACACAGACTTAATAGAACGTAAATTCTGAAAAAGCAAGCACCATGATTGTTTTACTCAATGTTATATGTTCAGTACCTGGCATTGCCTGGCATATTTTTGAGAAGTTGCCTAATAAATAGTTGAATGAATGGATTATATCATTTGGAAATACACTGGTTTCATTTCTAAAACTTGTTTTATGTTCCTTGGCAAAGAGTTGTTAAACTAAAACACAGTGTTAGTGAATATGATAGAAATATCTGCCACCCAAGAATAGATAGATCTTTCTATTACTTACAGTACAAGTTTATGGAAAGGTGGTTAATACTGAAAAAACATAAAGCAAGCCTTAGCTCGTTAGCTGTGAATCAGAAATTAATCATTTTTTATATTGCTAAAATCCCTGTCTACCTAACCAACTCAATGTTCTACGTAAGTTCTACTTGTCTTAGTCCATTTTGTGTAAAGGAATACCCGAGACTCAGTGATTTATCAAGAAAAGGTTTATTTAGCTTATTGCTCTGCAGGCTGAGAAGTTCAAGAGCATGCCTCTGGCTTCTCTTTTGTGCTGTGTCAAAACATGGTGGAGAAAGTCAAAGGGGAAGTGAGTATGTGCAAAGAGAACAAAACCTAAGGGACATCTGGCTGTATAACAACTAAATCTGGCAGCTGGGTGGGGTGGATCATGCCTGTAATCCCAGCACTTTGGGAGGCCAAGGGTGGATCATGAGGTCAGGAGTTCAAGACCAGCCTGGCCAAGACAGTGAAACCCCCCTTACTAAAAATATAAAAATTGGCTGGGCATGGTGGCCAGTGCTTGTAATCCCAGCTACTCGGAAGGCTAAGACAGAGAATTGCTTGAATCCAGGAGGCAGAGTTTGCAGTGAGCCAAGACTGTGACACTGCAGTCCAGCCTGGGTAACAGAGTGTCTCAAAAAAAAAAAAAAAAATCTGGCGAGAACTAATCTGATCCCACAAGAGTTCATACAGCCTCCTAAGAGTGAGAACGCACTCATTACTGTGAGAACAGCACCAAACCGTTCATGAGGGACCCATTCCCATAGCCCAGTCACCTCAAACTAGGCCTCAACTTCCAACAACACCATATTGGGAATATAATTTCAAGATGAGGTTCGGTGGAAGCAAACAAACCATATCCAAACCATTATACCATCTCATCAGAAATGAGGTGGAAATGTTCTTATAAAGCCCCTGCTGCTCCATTTAAGTACCTCAGCAAATCTTCCCAGTTTCTATCTGTGCCTCTCTGCTTCCACCCTATTGCCCCATTAGAGAGTTTCCAGAAGCAGGATAGCTACTTCTTCATATCTGGTGACTGCCTCCATCCACTCTGGGCAAACAGCCTCATGAGTTTGAAATGATCACATTGGTTACCATCCTGAAGGTGTTCTGGATGCTTTCTTTCTGATTTCACTGACTTCATGCCCTACTTATTATCAGTAAGGAAAATCTGTCTTACTTCCCATATGGAGCCCAGACTCTCTCTGGGATCCTTGCTTCCCTGGGAATGCAACTCATAGCTGTTTATGATGGGCCAGGCACTGGGTTTTCATAACCATGAAAATAACTGCTACTAATAACATCTGACAATTATTTTGCAGTGTGATATAGTTAAGATGCCACTTGCTCTGCTAAGAGTTATATCTGAAATGGAAAGTCCATTTCAGAGAGTGTTCTGTATGTACTCTCTGTGTACATTTCAGAGAGAGTAAGTGGAACCAGGTTATGGAGGGCAATGTCATATTTAGAGATTTTTTTTTTTTTTTTTAAACGGAGTTTTGCTTTTGTTGCCCAGACTGGAGTGCTATCTCGGCTCACTGCAACCTCCGCCTCCCAGATTCAAGTGATTCTCCTGCCTCAGACTCCGGAGTAGCTGGGATTACAGGCATGTGCCACCATGCCTGGCTAATTTTTTTGTGTTTTTAGTAGAGACAGGGTTTCATCATGTTGGTCAGGCTGGTCTTGAACTCCTGACCTCATATGATCTGCCTGCCTCAAACTTCCAAAGTTCTGGGATTACAGGCGTGAGCTACTGCACCTGGCCATATTTAGAGGTTTAAATTATATCCTGTAAGAAATGTTAATCCAAGGAATTTTTTTTTTTTTTTTTGAGACGGAGTCTTGCTCTGCAGCCAGGCTGGAGCACAGTGGCACAATCTTGGCTCACTACAATCTCCGCCTCCCAGATTCAAGCCGTGGAAGAATTTTAGGCAGCATAGTCACATGACCAATATTCAGAGTATGATATTTTTGATGACATCAGGACAATATTACAAAAATCAAGCATTGTACAGTCCCACTGGGGTTTCTGAGGGGTAAAGTCATGTTTGCCTTCACAAAATGATCCCAGTCTCATACTTTTTTGGTTTCATTCTGACTTCTAGTTTTATTCTTCCTGTCTCATTACCCGCTATCAGCTTCTCAACTATTGCTGACTTATCTCATTATAACTCTCCCGGACGCAACCTCAGACCTCTTTTTGATCAGTTTGCAACGGGAAAAATAAAAGGATTGTGATTGCAATACCACACATATTTTGAATCGTTATTAAAATGGTTGTGGGTAGCTTTTAAGTGTCGCCACTGCCCCGCTCATTGAATGCTCTGGTTTTGTGACATATCTTTCTAGTTACTTAACGGTTTTTCTCCCCATACTTGACAACTTGGTTTTTCAGGATAATGAAACACCAATTACCAAATAAGTAGATATAAGATAAAGATATGGGACTATGAAAAGCACTAAACAAATGCAGATAGCGTAATACAATATATTTTTTTAATTAGGCAGACCTATAGATAGGAAATTAAAGGAAGAGAGAGCTGCAGGTGTGAGATCTAGTATCCAGCTGCTTTGAGCAGGTCTCTTAGATGTCAGTTCATTTTCACGTGCTCCTGTTGAGTCAGCACCTCAGACCCACACCAGCGGTTTGATGATAACATATCCTTTGATTTCATAGTTCAGAGCCCGCCAGTCCAGGATATTAGCAGGGAGGGGGGCACCATGATAGGCAGACAAGATCTCTTCTGGGGGCAGCACGGAGTCCCACATGTACAAATCTCCAATCTCTCCCACAAAGGACTGGCTCCTATCAAACTTGCCCCCATAGGAATCCTGCTCCTGCCCCAGGACAATCTTGGGGTTAGCTTCCACAGAGTAACCCCGTCGCAGTCCCTTTTTCACCAAAGGTGTCCCATTGATCCAAAATTCAGCAATACCTGATGAGGACTCCCAGCTTGCACAGATGTGCACTGGGGCTGGGAACTTTTCAGTAGATTTGAATACAACTTCATTTCTTCCAATGTTTAGACTATATAGACTATTCTCTCCAGTTTTTTCTTTATAAACTAGTAGTTCATTATCCTTATCCTGGCTGCTATAGGAGAAGAGGGTATGGGAACGGGAGAGATCACTATAGGCTCGAAAACACAAAGTAAAGTTCTGTAGCGGCTTCTCCAGCGATGGGATCAAGTTCACGTGATCAGTAGCAGATTCTCTGGGAAATACAAACACCTTTCTACTGAGGTCTGTGGGATAAAGAAAGAAAGGTAATGACCTTCAGCATAAATGCAGGGAAACGACATCTTGGCTTCAACCGACTTTCTCACTTTATGATTCTTGACCACCCCTTGACCTCCTTACCTGTTTGAGCAAAGGCTTCCAGGAGGCTGGTGAGGACAACGACCCAAAACAGCAGCTTGTTCATGTTCCTGGTCTAGGGTTGTTATAGCGGAAGCAGTGACCAGGTTGAGGGTATCGGACAACACAGTGGCTGTCCACCTAGCATCTGAGATTCTTACCCTTAGACCTCAGGCTATTCAGGGTTTATATGCACCTTGGGTGAGGACAGGGGAGGAAGAGCACCAGTAATGTGTGAGTGATTTTCCAGGCCTTCCTCCCTGGCACTTATGCTGAGGGAGTGGTGAGGGCTGAGCTGGGAAATCAATGGGAGTTATTTATTAGAGACAAGTGACAGTTAGAGCTCCAAATCCTGTTACCCAGATTGTATTGCTGGGAAAAGAGTCACTGCAGAGCAGCAGGGTTATGGATGGGATGAGATGGGCTGGCCACGTCAGCAGAGCCTCTCTCTGCTCTCTGGGCCCCTCTCCTTGATGACTGTGTGCTCCGACAGAAGCTCCCGAGCCATGTGAAGTGTCTCCCTTAGCTCAGCCCTTTTGTGGGCTATGGGAACAAGGCCTTTCTTTTATACTTCTCAAGTTTTCTTCTATTTGTAGGATATTCTAGGATTCTGCTTTCTGCTGAAGACCCTAAAAAGTGCCCTCACCTTTGATTAATTCAACATTGAGTAATACATCCAGGCATTGCTAAGAGGAAAGAGGGACTTGGAGTATAAACTTTCTGTCACCATGAAGCTTAGTATTTTTCTGCTGCTTCTACTCAGCGCTTTTTTTCTTTCGCATATCTTGGTGCTTCCTTATCCTAGATCTTTCCATTTCTCATTATGACTTATTTTTCTGGTTACATCATATTGCCTGCAGAGATGTCAGTATCTCCTCAAGCTTTTCTCTCTTCTTCTTTGAGTCCTTGGTCATTGAGTGTATATCTAATCCATCTCTGGTGATGACCCCATTAGTATATTACTCACATTTATTCAATTCTCAGGTGCTACACTAGGTTCTGGGGATTCAGTGGTCACTGACTCTTGCACAGCCCCAGAGATATCTCCATCTCCATTCTCTCTGCTTCACTCTTCACTCTCTCTACACTTTATTAACCACCACTCAAACCTTCTCTGGCTCTGAGACATCAAACCGATGTTCCTCTTTCTAACCACATTATTTCTTTCTCTCTTATCCCTAAATTATATGGCATTTTGTTTCTCAACCTACTGTTTAGCCTCGTTCATTTTCTCTTCTCTTAGCTCACCCCAGACCTAATCAGTCTTTTCAATGACACAATCACTGCCACCAAGAATACACTTTCTCTCTCATTGTTCAAAGTATGCTTCCTATTCTTATCCCTGGGAGGTTTCCATCCTCGACTTTTTTTGAAAAATCTAAATGGAATTCCAGGTTGTGAAACCTTATCTGGCTTGTTGCACAGTAAGTGTAAGTGATAAAGTTGGGCTTATACATCTATTGATTCCTGAATTAAGTACAGATCATTTGCTTGGAAGCCAATGCCATTTACAATCTGGCTCTAACCTGGCTGTGATCTTAGAATCTAATCCCACTCTCCTGTCAGACACCTGTAATGGTTGTTCTTTATACATTCCTGGCTTTTCTGACTTCATCACTTCTGTTATTCACCTTCATTCTGTCTGCTTTTTAGGGAATGGTTGTACTAAAAGCCCAGGCTTCACTACTGTGTCATTGCTATCTATGTAATAAAACTAAACTTGTACCTCTTGCATTTATACAAAAATATAAAAAATAAAACACAATCTGCTTCATGAAGACTTTTCTAATATCCTAACTATACATTATTTCCCCTTTTTTGCACTTCCTATAAGGTTAAGATCAAAGACTTTGGGATAGAATTTCAGTGTTGCCACTGACTAGTGGCTGACTATTCTGCAAGTCACTAAACGTCTCTGAACCTTAGTTTCCTTCTCTGCAAAACAAAGATAAAGCTATCTACCCCACAGTGTTTCTCTAAAGATAAATGAGATACTGTGATACAAAGTACATGGAACAGTATCTGGATGATGATTATGACCATCATTTTAGAGGTGTTATGACTGTTACCACTGTCTGTCTCAGATTATGGATATGATTGTATTTATCTCTGATCCCTTCTAGATTGAATCTGGGACTTACTCATATTTAGATCATTCATTTTATCGAACAATTTTTCTTAAGCATGAAAGGAAACTCTTACTTATTGTGGAATCAAATAACTCAGCTAGGGGGAGGATTTCTTTTTATGTAAGAAAGAGTTTATTAGCAACAAAAAGTAGAATACAATTGAATATGATCAGGTAATGCCGGAGGTAGGAACAGGAAGGTGACCTTTCTTGAGAACCCAGGGACTACACAATTCCCTAACATTTCCAGATGTTAATTAATAAGTTCCATAAAACTCAGAGAACATAGGGCTCACCAGATGCTTCTAGTTTTCTTCATAAATAAATAAATAATCATTCTCTTAACAAAAAATGGTTCGGAAATGAATGTAGAAGAGAGTGTTCTCTAATGGGAGATGAGTCCAGGGAACAGGTCTTGGGGATAAGTGACACAGCCTTAGACTCATGGTGGGAGAGCTTGGAAGTAAGGGCGTTTAGATAGCTCTTGGGGCCAAGTGCCAGGGTTTGTAGTTGCACATAAAATGTTGTGTCCAGACACTGTGATGAGGAAAGCTTGACTGGAAGATACAGTCTATAGTAGAATGGGAAAAAGGGAGAAAAAGTGGAGTCTGATTCTGTTCTCTAGTTTCCTTCCCTGGAATATGCTTCTCAGCCCTTGGAAGAGAACAGTCTGCACTTCCAGGGTTATCAAAGTGGAAACTGAGAATTCCTTCTGTTGCCAAATGGAAAAGTTGTGACGTCAGGATGTAGGAAAATGAATCCTGGATCTTCAGAACTGGGTGCAATTCTCCCAGTGACCCAATCACTGTTGCTGGATGCTCCTGGTTGCCTTCCTGCCAGTGAAAGTTCAGGTCAAGGTGGCAGCTCCCGTCTGGGTGGCTATGGAAGGCTTGAGCTTGGGGAAGAAAAGATACAGTATGTTGAAGAGAAGCAGGGCCACCTGTGTGCACCAAACAGAGCTGTCTTGGCCACATCAACTGGCATGCAACAAAGTTTGCCCTCAAAGAGCATAGTGGAAGAGGGCATCAGCAGTAGCAGAAAGAGGATCTGACTCGGAGCTTCAAAAAGGCAGGAGTATGAGATATAACTGAAGATCAGCTGAGGGATTCAAAAATACCTTAAAGATGCTTTCTAAGACCTTAGGTGTTTATAGAAGACATTAAGTCACAGTAACCAACAGGAAAGACTGGATAGGAAGAAACTGAGTAGAACGCAGGGTAGAACAAGATTTATGTTCAGTAAAGGATTATTTGCTGTGTGAGAATTATTAGCTGTAAGAGAATGTGAGAGCATTTAGATGGAAAGAGGCAATGGAGGCATGCATCAAGAGTAACTGATTATCACCCTGATATGTGGTTGGATAAAGCCAAAGATACACAACTTACAGTGATGGTGGGGTCTGTTATAAAGGCATAAATGGAAAAAGATGAGAATAAGATAAAAATATATAGAATATGGAACCATATTTCTGGATACAAGTGATGTGAAAAATATGGTGCTACCAGTGCAGATAGGACCATTGAGAGGATACTCACTTGGAGGAGGTAGAGGGTAGGTGATAAGCTTGGTTCCTCAAATGCTAAATTTGAAATGATAGTATGACCTACATATAAGAAAGGTCTGGGAGACTTTGAAATATGTGACTGCCATTTGGAATTAGAAATACAGGTTTCAGAGAAATCAACATATACATGATAATGAAACAAAAATGAATTTTGTCTTTCAGTGGAAGGGAGAAGAGAGAAAAGGTCAGGGAACCAAGCACTGACTTGAGGAAACATTTGCATTCATGGTGTTAGAGGCAAGATAAGAATGGCAGGTTGGGAGAGAGGTGGGAGAAAAAAATTATGTTTGGCAGAGAGGATAGTGTGTGGTGTCATGGAAACCAAGTCAGCATAAGTATCTAGGAAGTAGTATCCCGTGGTATTAAATGCATCAGAGAGATCTAAGGTGAATACATGCTGGATTTAGCAATAAAAACTTCATTGGTAACCTTTGAAAGAGCAATTTTCATAAAGTGAGCATGTCAGAAGCCAAGTTTCAGGGAATGATGGAGGGAGAAAAAGGAAGGGAGTTTGTATCCTAAGGTTCAGTAATTCTGACAAAGAACAAAAGGAGAGAAACAAGATTCTCCACAGGAGACTTGTGATTAAATGCATATTTCTCACACAGTTTGTAGATTGTCTCTTCTTGACTGAGTGGCTTTGTTGCCCACTTCATAACATTGTATCCAACAACAGAGAAAAATCAGTGTCCACCTGAGATTTTGACTGACCTTTCTACCACAGTAGCTTTTTCAAACTCTAAATGCCAGCCTCAGGCTTCTGTGTCCACTTTGCAATTCTGGCAGCTTCACAAATTGGTCAGTCACTTTCCAGGTCATGCTGATACACAGAGTCTTTTCTTGATCTCATTTCTATGTTCCTAATTTCAGGGTTCATTTATAAAAGAAAATCTCTGCTACTTTTTTGTTTCCTAGTTTTGGGTTTAGTGAGACACCTTGACCATGTTACCTCACTGAAATCTCACTTTTAAGTTCGGAATTCACCTGAAACTGCTCTCTGGAATGTCACCATATCTCTATCTTGGTCTTATCCTTCCTGACATCCCTTCACTCCCATGCTTCTTTTTGAACAACCCATCTTTATAGTTTTATAAAATGTAGCTTTCATGAGATTAATGTTTATTCTTGTTTTTAAAAAATAACTTTTTAATAACATTTACCATTCACTGGTACCCACTGGCCACACCATCTTCATGCTGTTCACAATCCCTTCATGATAACTGGATCTTCAGAAGGAAATATACAAAGAAGAAAAATAGAACAGCAAGGACTCAATGTAACTCTGTATTTTGAGTATGTTTAAAAGTTCCCTTCTCTATGTCTAGGAATACATTTTCCAGCCACAGTGATACAAAGTACATGCATTGAAGATGCAGATGCAGATTCCTCAGTTGTGTGGCTACAAGAGGCCTTGGCTAGAGCTGTCTGGAGCTACTCTTGTCATCTTGTCTTTTCCTATGCCATGTTTCTGCTCATGACCTAGAGTTCATGTCAGCACGAGAGTTTTCTTATGCTGATCTATTTCATTGTTATCTCTAAAACTTCAAAAT